GCGGACGCGCCGCACGTAGGGCACGGCCGCGGCGATGCCGTCCGCGCCGCGGACCTCGACGTCCCGCGCGCCGAGCGCCGCGCCCTCGAGGGCGCCCCGGAAGAGGCCCAGGAGCAGCGCCAGGGCCGAGTCCGCGACCTCCTCGGTGCCGTAGTCCGGGATGTTCGCGACGGCGATGCCCAGCGCGCCGGCGGCGGCGACGTCGACGTTGTCGTAGCCGACGCCCATGCGCACGACGAGCCGGCACCGCTTCAGCCGCCGCAGCAGGGCCGCGTCGACCTCGATGGTGTGCCACACGGCGACGACGTCCGCGGCCTCGAGGTCGCCGTCCCGGAGCTGCGCCGCGCTCGTCGCGCCGAGCATGCGCACGTCGCAGCCGCAGGCCGCGAGGACCTCGCGCTCGACGCTGCCGTCGCTCGCGTCGAGGCACACGTAGACGCCCGGCATGTTTCTCGCTGAGCTGTCTTGCCTGTGAGACGCAGCCGACAGCAGCGTGTAGGATGCCAACAGCGTGTAGAAGATGCCGACAGCGTGTAGAAGCCAGCCGTAGCAGCCGACGGATGGGCGCGGCTACTGCAGAAGTGGCAGAATGGACTTTTAGCGAGCGTCCAGAAGTCCACAGCTGACGCCACCTTGCACCCATTAGGCCGGGCTGTGCGCCTGGTTCGGGCACTGACCGATGGCCACGATCCTCACAAACCACGCGGCGCTGCGCTTGCTGCGGCGCACGGGCTGCGCGGCGCTCGGGCTCGACGTGTCGGCGACGAAGATCGGCGTCGCCGTGAGCGACCCCGGCCGCACGCGCGGCCTGCCGCTGGGCGCGATCCGCCGCGAAAAGCTCGACGCGCGCGGCGCCGCGACGCGGCGCGTGTCGGTGCGCATCGCCGAGGCCGTCGCGGCGCACGGCGCCGGCGTCGTCGCCGTCGGCTGGCCCCTCGAGCTCTCCGGCGCGGAGGGCAAGCGCTGCCGCGAGGTCCGCGGCTTCGTCGACGACCTCGCGCTCGCGACGCCCGTCGCGCTCGTCGACGAGCGCTTCTCGACGCGCGCCGCGCGCGCCGCGCTCGCCGAGGCCGGCGCGCCGGCGGCCCGCGGCGCCGAGGACGCCGCGGCCGCGGCCGCGATCGTCGAGACGCTCCTCGCGGGGCTCGGGTCCGCGCGGCCGTCGCGCTTCTTCGGCGACTAAGGCGTTAGGCGAGGTCGTCCTGGGTCCCGACGAGGAGCGCGGAGAGGAAGACGAAGGCCGGCGGCAGGTCCGGCCGCCGCAGCGCGCGGCGCGCGGCCGCGTGGAGCGCCTGCCAGCGCCGCAGCGCCGCGCGCCGCGCGTCGTCGCCGTCGGCGTCGATGGCGCGGAGCACGCACGCGTCCCGGAGCTGGGCCGGCGTCAGGCCGTCCGCCGCGAGGAGCGCGTCGTCCTCCGCGACGTCGCGCGCCGCGCGCGCGAGGCGCCGCCGGAGCTGCCAGGCGCCGCAGCACGTCGCGGCGCGGGGCCTCGCGAGGACGGCGAGGTGGCCCAAGGCCGCCGTGTCGAGGGTCCCCAGGCCCAGCGGCGCGGACACGCCGGTGAAGTAGCGCTCGAAGTACTGCGCCGTCGCCGCCGCGTCGCCCGCGGCGACGAACGCGAGGCCGTCGGCGGCCTCCTCCAGCGCGTCGGCGAGGGCGTGGCTCCGCCGCAGGGCGTCCGCCGCGGACCGCTGCGCGTCGCGGTCCGCGGCCGCGAAGGCCTCGGCCTGCTGCCGGCTGTGGAACTGCGCCGCTAGCAACCGCTTCGGGAAGCGGTAGGCGATGGCGATGAGCACGAGGCCGAAGGGCGGCGGCAGCGGGTTGACGAGGAGCGGCAGCATGCGCAGGAAGTCGCCCGGCGCCTCGCGCGCGGCCTTGGCGTCGCGCCACGACAGCGCACGCGCTCGCCCCGCGGCGTCGAGGTGCCTGTGGCGCCAGGCCACGCGCGCGTCGGCCCAGAGCTCCTTCGCGCCGGCGGCGAACTGGGCGTAGAGCGCGCGGCAGGGCGCCCAGAGGTCGCCGCAGGCCACGCGCCGCGACAGGCACCGGCCCAGGCGCCGGCACCAGGTGTCCTTGCCCTTGCCGTCGTCGTCGCTCGCCGCGGCGTCGCGCTCGGCCGGACCGCGCGGCGGCGTCGGTGCTTCGCGGCCGGGCCTCAGCATGTCCTGTTGCATCCACGAGGCCTCGCGAGGCGCGCAGCGGTCGGTGGACGGCGACGATCAGTAGTAGACCATCAGCCAGCCAAGTCGTTCGCGCCGCGCGCGCGACGGATGCGTCGGACGCGTCCGGACGCGTCCGCGCCACCCGGCCGACACCCGGCCCGTCGCCTCGGAGCCTCCTCGGCCGACGTCGGCGCGGGTCGACGGTCGTGGCTTCGGCCGAGGCGTCGCGCCGCCCGGGAGACCCTTCCGCGGCGCGCGGTAGCGCCGGGCCGCCGCCGGCCGCGGCGCGCCGGCGCGCCCGTGCCGGCTCGCGGCCGACTCGGACTCGGACTCGCCGCGGGCTCGGCCGCTATGCACACGTGCTTACGCGAGGGCCTCGCCGCGCGCGACTTTGGCGAGCTGGTCGAGCCACCGGTCCTTGAGCGCGTCGTCGTGGGCCGCGAGGTGGTGCTCGCCGGCCGGCGTCGTCACGGCGAAGGAGCAGGGCTTGGCCGGGTCGCCGTCGCGGACGACCATGGCGCCCGCGAGGTCCGCGGAGACCTCGGCCTTGGGCGCGGCCGGGTCGCCCTCGCGGCAGAGCTGGACCTGGCGCGTGTCGAGGCCCTTGGCGAAGCAGAGGAGCGCGCCGGACCGCGGCGCGAGGACGAAGAAGCGGCGCTGCCACGAGCCGCGCGCGAGGCCCGAGAGCTTCTTCTTCAGGAGCCAGCCGTAGCACGCCGCCGACGTCGTGAAGTGTTCCGCGAGCTCCATGGACCGGTCGAGCGACGACGTCTGGGGCATGTCGCGGCGGACGACGCGCGTGTTCCCGTTCTGCGTGTTGACCTGGATCATCTTCGTCGGCGGCGCGGCCGGCATGCGCGCGCTCACGGCGTTGGCGCCGAAGCGGACCTCGAAGTCCCGGTGGCCGGGCGGATTACTCGGCACCGTGGGGAGGACGACGCTCGGCGCGTCGGCCTGGAAGGCCTGCTCGAGGAGGGCGTTCTGCGACGCGTCGAAGGGATGCCACGCGCCGGCGCCGTCGCGGTGGAAGAAGGCCATGCGTGCGACGAACGTCGCGCCGACGGAGTGGGTAACTTCGAGGGGCGGGGGCTCCGCGGGCGCGTTGAGATCCGACTACTCGAGCGTCGAGCGGTCACGACGACGAAAGTCGCGCCGACGGAGTGGTCGAGGGGCGGGGGCGCCGCGGGCGCGTCGAGATCCGTCGGCTCGAGGGACGACGCGCCCGTGCGCAAGCCGGAGTTGCACCCGTGATTTTTGCTGCCCGAGAACGATGGTCCAGTGAGGCGGGCTTCTAGAGAGACGCGATGGCTCAACGAGCTCGGGTCGACGCGGCGAACCGCCACCGCCACGGCCGCCGCAAGAGCCACCACGACCACGAGCGCGCGGAGGTCCGCGACGTGGCCGTCGCCGACGCGGGCTGCTTCAGCAGCTGCGCGGGCCCCCAGGCGCCGCCGCAGCCCATCCTCCACCAGCTCGGCGCGGGCGCCGGATCTCTGGAGGCGGCCTTCGTGCGGGAGACGCTCGTGACGAACGGCGACCAGCTCGAGGAAATCGTGCGCCGCCGCGTCGACGAGGTGCTGCGCTCCGGCGGCGGCGGCGACGACCCGCTCGCGGCGCGCGTCGCCGAGATGGTCCGGGACGAGCTCCGGCGCGAGCGCCTCGCGGCGCCGGACGGCCGCGCCGGCGACGCGGGCGACGAGGCGGTCCGCGCCGGCGGCGACGGCGGCGGCGCGGCGGCCGGCGCCGCGGCCGGCGCGGCGGACGAGCCCGGCGCCGCCGCGGGTCCCAGGCGGCGGTCCGTGAAGTACGACGTCGGCGACGTCGCGCAGTTCTGCGAGGAGATGCGCCGGAGCTTCTACTTCCGCGTGACGTCGGCCTGGCTCTTCGACCGCCACGCGCGGCACTGGTGGGTCCAGTGGTGCCATTTCGTGCTCGTCGTTCTCCTCGTCTTCCTCCAGTGCGCGGCCTTCACGTCCGTCATCCAGGTCCAGGGCATCACCTGGCTCTTCGACCACGACGTCGAGGCGTACGTCGACGACGACGGTGTCGCCGAAGGCCTCGCGGCGAAGATGTTCCCGGGGGGCGTGCCCTACCCGGCGAACATCGACCGGCTCACGGAGGAGGCCTACGGCATCCAGAAGCTGTTCGGGGTCTGGGACTTCCACATCATGACCATCGTCTTCTGCGCGATCAACGTCATCACGATGATGCAGCCCGAGCTGAAGCAGCTCAAGGGCGGCTACGCGCTCATCGTGTCGCGCTTCGGCCAGGTGCCCGTGTGGCGCCTCGCGGTCGCCTACGTCATCCACGTGCTGCGGTTCTCCGTCGTCTGGCTCTTCGTGGACGTGTCGGGCCGCGTGCTCGGCGCGAGCGACGGGCCCTTCGAGATCATCCTGAACTCGCTCGCGGTCCTCTTCATTTTGGACATCGACGACCTCGTCAAGTTCGACGAGCCCCGGCGCAACTTCTACGGCATCGCCTTCTTCCGGAACCGCAAGGAGCTCTTCGGCGGGCGCCTCGACGACGCGCACGCGGAGCTCGACGCCATGTTCCGCCGCGCGGCGGCCGGCGACAAGTACCGCGTCAAGTTCTACGGCGCGATGACCTGGCTCTGCCCTGTGTGGAAATCAACCAGTGGAACGCCCCGTCCAGCAAAAACTTCAAAGCTCTCGAGCTCGGTCACATCGAAGCCGATTCGGCTGACTTTTGGACGAATCGATTGCTCTCGTCGAGCTCTCGAAGCACAGCCGAAGAGCTTGCGTCGAAACTGTCGCATACGCCCACATTGAATTCGGGTTGAAGATTTGATTTCCACGCAGGCTCTGCCCCGCGGCGCTCATGTGGTGCATGTCGGCGCTCGCGATCCTCATGCAGCGCTACACGTCCACGGGCGAGCTCATCGCCATCGACGACCTCATCATCGACGAGGACCGCGACGTGAACGCGCGGTACCGCGCGATCCGCTACGCGACCGCGGCCGTGCTCTACCTCGACGTGCACTCGACGGCGATGCTCGCGTCGAAGAACGAGTACAGCGACCAGAACGTCATCAAGCACAGGCTCTGGCGCGTCGCCGACTTCGTCCTGCAAGCCTGCGTCCACGTCGTGTTCCGGACGGTCGTGATCGACTGGGCCATCGAGGAGCTCCTCGCCTACCACCGCTCCTGGAACACGGACCGCCTCTCCTTCTGGCAGGACCTGTCCATCGTGCCGCCGCGCAGCTCGCACAAGGGCGCCCGGGCCTACGGGGACCGCGAGGCGGACGTCGAGAAGTATTCCGGCCGCGTACCACTACCAGGCGCAGTAAAAACGAAGACAACGATGGAACTTCACCAACTCCATTGAACCTGAAGTTACCGCCGCGATTCCGGTGGGCAGCACATGATGGCAGCGCGCGCGCTGCGGTGCGCGCTGCTGCTCGCCCAGGCTTGCGCCGCGCAGGAGCTGCAGCGCACGTCCGTCTTCGCGATCCTCAACGCGCCGCTGCAGCCCGGCGAGGTCCGGCACCGCATCGCCGTGCGCGGCGACGGCAACCGCGTCGTCGCCCACCTCGAGCTCTCCGGCGCCGAGGAGGTCGCCGACGCGGCCTACGCCTTCGGCGTCGCGAACGGCGTCGACCGCGGGTCGACGCGGCGCCTCGCGGCGGCGGTCTGCGGCGGCCAGGGCCTCACCGCGGGCGAGCCGGCGCCGCCGTGCGGCCGCGAGGCCGCGCTGCTCTACGAGAACGCGGTCGCGGACCCGCGCGACGAGACGGGGGCGGACGCGCTCGACGGCCTCCTGCGCATCTGGGAGGGCCAGGACGCGCTCGACGCCGTCCACGGCTTCCTGCTCTTCGAGCTGGACCTCTGGTTCGGCGACTGGTTCCCGCCCGCGCTCGTCGAGGCGCTCTGCGGCGCGCTGGCGCACCCGCTCTGGCCCTGCGGCGAGGCACCCGTGGCGCGCACGGTGCCCATCAACATGGGCGCGGAGACCGGCAAGGTCGGCGACCTCGTCCTCCGGGAAGACGAGGAGGCCGCGGACGCGATCGCGCTGTTCGCAAAGGACCGCGAGGAGATCACGGCCCACGCGAAGAAGCAGCTCTACGCGTCGGTCTGCGGCGGCAACGAGAAGCGGAAATACCGGTGCACGCGGGAGCGGGCCCTCCTCTTCCGCGGCGGGCCCGCGCGGAACGGGAACGGAACGATGATTCTCGCGAGCGACGGGTCGCCCGCGTTCGTCGAGGTCTGGGACGGCGACGAGCCCGCGGACGCGGCCTTCGCCTGGTCGCGGGTCCACGCCGCCGTCGACGTCGACGACGCGCGGCATCTGGTCCAGGATCTGTGCGGGGCCTACCCGGTCAAGGTCCTCGCGCGGTCGCCGGACCCGCCGCTCGCGTGCGGGCGCTTGAAGTGGGTCGTCGACGTCATGCCCATCCGGGGGCCCTTCGGCCCCGGCGGGAGGCAGGCCCTCGTGGGCAACCTGGAGATCACCGACGGCGCGGAGGCCCACGACCTCGCGTGGCACTTCTCCAAGGACAAGGGCTGCGAGGGCTGCCCCTTCTACAAACAGCTCGCGGCGAACCTCTGCGAGAACCCGCTCGTGTCCTGCACGCGAAACAAGGCCGTCGTCTGGACGGCGCTCGTCGACGTGGCGACGCTCGAGACGTTGGGCTGGCCGCCGCCCTACGGGAACGTGCACCTCGAGGTCTACGAGGGCGGCGCGGTCGTCGACGCGGTCCGCGAGCTCTGGTTCTCGCGCAACGAGTCCGAGGGCCTCTTCGGGCCCGACGCGCGGCTGCTGCGGCGGTCGCTGACGGCCCTCGCGTGCTCGCCGGACTACGGCCTCGCGCCCGAGACCCTGTGCGCGCGCGCGGAGGAGATCCTCGCGTCCGCGGACGTCGAGCGGCCCGGCGCGGCCAAGACCATGGTCTTCAACTACACGACGCCGCGGGCCTTCGACGACCGGCCCTGCGGCGACGCCGTGGACCGGCGCCGCGCCTACGACGAGCAGGTCGTCGTCCGCGACGTCGCGTGCGCGCCAAAGGAGGAGAAGCGCGGCCACGGCTTCAAGTCGAAGCGGCGGCGGCCGCCGGGGTCCAAGCGGCGCGACGACGACGACGACGACGACGGCGACGACGCGCTCACGCGCATGAAGAAGCGGCGCGACCGCGACCGCAAGGAGCGCGGCCTCCCCCCCATCGACGACGCGACCTCGAGGACCGCGGCGCCCCCGGACGACGACGGCGACGGCGGCGACGACGCGAACGCGACGAACGCGACGGCGCCGGCGCCGGCGCCCAACGCGACGACGCCCTGGTGCGCGTCGGCGACGCAGCGCCTCGTCGACCTGAACGTCACGGCCATCGACGCGGCCGTCGCCGACGCGTGCGCCGCGACGATCTTCGACTTTGGCATCGAGGGCTGGGGCGGCCCGGGCTTCATGCAGGCGCTGGGCGCCCGCAACGACTCGGAGGCGGACCGGCGCGGCGTCCAGCAGGGCATGAAGCTGCGGAAGGTCGACGGCGTCGCCGTCCGCGACCAGGACACGGTCCGCGCCGCGCTCCGGGCCAAGGCCGTCGCCGCGCGCGCCAACGGCACCAGGGTCGCGGCGGAGCTCGAGTTCCTCGTCGTCAACGACCAGGACCGCTTCCTCCAGAAGGGCGGGCCCGACGACAAGGGCGGGCCCGTAATCGTCTACGAGGGCATGACGGCGTCGGACGCGGTCTACGCCGCGTGCCTCCCCAACGAGCTCATCCAGCCCAACTACACGAAGCTCGGCGTCCAGAGGCGCTTCCTCGCCGAGCTCTGCCGACCGCAGCACCGCGTGCCGCTCCGCGGGCCGCCCGCGCCGGGCTGCGAGGATCTCAACGCGACGACGGGCGCCCCGATCTACGCGCCCCGCTTCCTCCTCTTCGAGATGCCCCTCCAGTTCGGCGGCATGACGCACACGTTCCGCTACTACCCCGACGACTGGCCGCCGTGCCCGGGCGAGTACAACCCGACGGCGTGGAGCGTCCCGGACACGACGCTCCACTGGCCCTTCGGCGCAGACGAGGCCACGCTCGAGGCGCTGTCCCTGGCCCTGGGCGGCGAGGACCCGCTGCCGAAACTGACGAACGCGTCCTGCGCGCCGGCCATCGAGCGCTTCGCGGCGTCCGTCTGCGACGCGCTCGGGCCGCCGCGGCCGCCGGGCTGCGACGTCGACCTCCTCAACATCGCGAAGCAGTACCTCCAGCAGGCCATGGAGCACCGCTGGTTCGAGAAGGCGACGCCGGATGGCGTCGACCTGTACCTGGCCCTGGGCGCGCCCCGCGACTCGGACAACGACACGATCGTCGACTCGTACCGCCGCGTCGCCTCCGAGCTCGGCGCGCCGCTCGAGCTCTTCGAGACGCTGCTCAAGGGCGCCCAGCGGCTCCGGGAGCGCGCCGCGGCGCTGCGGGCCGCCGCGCGGGCGCTGCTCGAGAGCGCGAACGCGACGGCGACGGCCTGTGCCGAATTCAACCACTGGTTTGGGTGGTCCTGACCAAACTTGAGAATTCTCTAGCTCGGTCAAATCGAAGTCGATTCGGCTGATTTTTGGACGAATCGATTGCTCTCGTCGAGTTCTCGAAGCACGGCCGAAGAGATTTTGTCGAAATTGTCGCGTACGCTCACATTGAAGTCGAGTTGAAGATTTGAATTCGGCACAGGCGACGGCGGCGCTGCGGCTCGCGGGCGACGCGCGCGCGGAGCTCGCCGCGGACGTCGCCGAGACCTTCGATGTTCCGAACACGACGCTGAGCCCCGCGGCGCGGCACGTGCTCCAGAGCCTCTTCGTGAACCTCACCGCGGACGCCTTCGCGGACTCGCTGCTCGAGAAAGTCGACGCGCCGTCCGCGCTCCTGGCGGCCGCGGACGCGCTCGCCGCGGACCCGGCGCGCTTCCCCGACGGCGACGCGGCGGCGGCGCTCGCGGAGCTCGCGGACGCGGGCTGCGTCGAGGAGAAGCGCGGCGGCCACGCCGCGGGCGGGCCCCGCTTCGCGGCCGCGGCCTCGCGGAGCAAGGTCCAGTCCTCGACGCTGGAGCTCACCAAGGCCGGCAAGGACGAGGTGCTCGACGAGCTCGCCCTGCTCGCGCGGCGGCGCGCGGCGGCGGCCGAGGACCGGCCCTGGGGGCGCCTCGCCGCGCGGGTGGGGAGGGCGCGCGCGGGCGCGCCGCTCGTGGCGCGCGCGGTCGCGGCGGACGCGCTCGAGACCTGCCGCGCGCGGGCGGCGCTCGCCGACGACCTGCTGCGCCAGGCCGCGGACGCCGCCGTCGAGGCGAACCACACGATCCGGGCGCTGGAGAAGCCCGTCGGCGAGGTGAGCAAGCGCGCGTGGGCCCTCCACCAGGCCTTCGACACGCTCGCCGACGAGACGAACCGCGACTTCTACGACCGGCCCTGCCGCCCGGTCTTCGGCGCCTGCTGCGTCCGCGACGCGCCCGACGGGGGCATGCGCATCACGTGCGGGAGCTAAGGAACATGAAGGTTCGACGCGAGGTTCACGCTAAGCTTCAATTTAGGTTCAGCAACTGAATTCCCTACGATTCTTGCATTGGAGTCGACGTCTGGTGGCGTCTGGGCAGCACCGCAACGCTGCCCGGCCGTCGCCATGGTGTCCGCCGTGAGCGCCGGCACGACGCTGCTGACGGCCTTTTTGCTGAAGCTGCTCTTCGGCTCGGACGACGCGCTCCTCTTGACGACCTACTTCGTGCGGCCGGGCGCCACGAAGACGTACCAGGCGAAGATGGCGGCGATCTACGTGCTCATGATGAATTTGATCGTGTGCCTCGCCGTGGGCGTCGGCGTCGTGCTCAACGTCGTGCTCGCGTCCTTCAGCGACGACGAGGACAAGGTCAGCTACGCGACGTCCATCGCGTGCTCCGTTTTACTCATTTGCTACGCGGTCTACCTCAAGTTCGCGCCGGACGACGACGACGCCGACGACGACGACGCGGAGAAGGGCGGCGACGACGTCGGCAAGGAGCTCCTGTCCAAGGAGCCCAACGCCGACTACGGCTCGTCGGGCGAGGCGACGCAGCGCTACGCGAACCCCTACGTCGTCTTCTTCCTCACGGGCCTCGACGACGCCATCGTCTACATGGTGCTGGTCATCGACGACGCGTCGAGCTGGTACCTCGTCATCTTCGGCGCGGGCGCGGGCACGCTGCTGCTGGTCGTCGCGGGCTACTACGTGTCCACGGTCCGCTTCATGATCGACGTGATCCAGGCCGTGCCCCAGTGGATCGTCGTCGTCCTGCTCGCCTTCCTGATCCTGTTCGGGTCGATCTTCGACGTCCCCTACATGTAAAACAGAAAGCTAGGCGCTAAACGTCTCCGCGCGGACCATGGACCGCGCGGGCGCGTCGTCAACGTCGCCGTCGTCGCCGGCGGCGAGGTCCGCGTAGGACGCGAGGAGCTTGGCCCAGCGGTGGAGCTCGCGCGGCGCCTCGAAGCGCAGGTGCCACGTGCGCATGTCCGTCACGAGCGCGAGGCGCAGCGTCGAGGAAGCGCAGGCCGCGCTCCGCGGAGACGCGGACGAGACGCGGAAGAGCGACGAGCCGCCGGACGTCGACCGCGCGCGGACCTCGAGGACGGGCAGCGCGTCGTAGGCCGCCTTGTCGCCCGACGCGCGGGCCCCGTCCTCCGACGCGCGGGCGTCGCCCGCCTCCGGCGGCTCCGGCGGCGCGTCCGCCGGGGTCGGCGCGTCGGCGCCGAGGCCCGGCGCGTCGGCGCTCGCGGGGCCGCGGCCGCGCCAGAAGGAGGGCTCGACGGCGCCGAGGCCCGGCACGTCGACGCTCGGGGGGTCGCGGGCGCCCCGGAACGACGGCGCGGCGACGACGACGCGGCGCACGGACGACACGTTCTCGAGGAAGATGACGCCCTTCTGCGTGTGCGTGCCCTCGTCGCGGAAGGCGTGCCAGTCCTTGTCCGAGGCGAAGTAGTAGAGCTTCGGCGCGCCCGTGCCGCTTCCCGCGTCGCCCGGTATGAGCGCGACGGACCGCCTCCGCCAGCCCGCCGCGGCGCCCTCGCCGCGCTTCCACAGGCTCCCGACGGCCAGCGCCGGCGGCGGCCGGTGCTTCAGCGTCGTCGCGACCTGGAGCCGCCGCACGGCGAGGGCGTGGATCGCGTTCTTGAGCCGCGTCTTCGCGGCCGCGGGCCCGCCGTCGACGAGCTTCCGGATCTTCGCCGTCGCCGCGGCGTCGTCGAGGTCCACGAGGAGGAACTTGCGCACGCAGGCCGCGACGGCCGGCGCGCCGTCCCTGGCCGCCGACGCGAGCACCGCCGCGGCCGTGGACACGACGAGGTCCGCGTGCGCGCGGAGCGCGAGGAACGCGGCCGCGCACGCGTCGACGAACTTCGCCCAGACCGCGTCGCCCATGGCCTGGCGCAGGGCCGGCGTCGTCGCGAAGGACGCCGTGTCGATGGCGACGGAGTCGTCCAACACGTGGCCGAAGTCGATGTGGAAGAGCGTGCCGTCGTCCGCGAGGAGGATGTTGTCCGAGTGGCGGTCGCGGACGCCGAGCACGTGCGCGCCGACGTAGGACCCCGCCGCCGACGCCACGAGCCGCTCGAGCTGCGCGTCGCTGAAGCGGTCGCTGGCGCAGACCGCCGTCAGCGCGCGGACGCCGCGGACGAGCTCGATGCAGCCGACGCGGCCCGACATCGCGCAGACGCCGTAGGTGCCGATGAAGACGCGGCTCCCGTCTCTCGTCGTCGTGTTCGACACCTCGAAGGCGTAGTTCATGGCCCCGAAGGCCTGGAGCACGCCCACGTCCTGGCGCAGGTCGTCGCCGGCCTTGTAGATCAGCCGCGAGGGGGGGCTCGCCCGGTGCCGCGCGCCGTGGAGCGACAGGAGCAGCGGCCGCGTGTTCGACGGGAAGACCTTCTCGACGCGGATGTAGGAGATGGACGTCGACGGGAGGAAGGGGTCGAAGACGCGGACCTTTTTGGGCAGTTGTAACGTGAAGCCCGCGGGGCTTCCGAGCAACGTCGCCGCGATGGACTCCCAGTGCTCCTCGCTGAGGAAGATGTGGGGCGTCCGCCCCTCGGCGGCCGCGGCGACGAGGGCGTCGAGCTCGGCGAAGACGCTCCCGTCGCACCACGCGGCCTGCTTGAGGAAGTGGACCGCCTGTCCCACGCACCGATGCGCCGCGCACCGCGCGGCGACGGCCCCGAGGAGCTCGCGCCGCAGCCCCCGGAGCCAGTGCGGCGCCCCGGCGACCAGCGCCAGAAGCGCCGGGAGCGCGTCGCAGAGCGCCTGGGGCGCGCACCGCGCCACGAAGGCGCCGCGCGGGATCTCGTCGCCGTAGAGCGACCGCCGGAGGCGGCTCGACGCGACGATCTGGCGGCAGAGCACGGCGCGCCCGGCCCAGCGCAGGCAGCGCACGACCCTCGCCCGGCGCGCCGCGTCGATGGAGAGCGCGCGCCGCCCGGGCGACGCCGGCGGCGACCCGGCCGTCCTCGACCGCAGCCGCGCGGCCGTGCGGTCGCTGAGGGACCGGCTCCACTCGGACCCGCGGCGCAGGGACCGGAAGAGGTCCGCGCCGGAGAAGGCGAAGCTCGGCTTCGCGGGCGGCTCCTCGGCGTCGCCCTCGGCGCAGGGCACGGCGGGCTCCGGGCTACCGTCGAGGGCGTCGACGAAGGAGTCGTAGCCCCGCGCGCTCACGAAGGCCGGATCGTCGTCCCCGGCGTCGGCGACGCTGTCCAGCGACCGCGAGTGGGCCACGGCCCCGGGGGACGGCGACCCCTTGTATCGAAGGGGCTGGCTGCCGCCCTGCCCCATATCGTACGCTCTTCTTGAACGTCTTCACTTAACGCGGCACCGCCGACCTCGTCGATGGTTCCACCTACGATGGGCTGCCCAAAAAGCTGCTGATCTATCATGGCCGTCCCGCCCATCGGCGGCGTGGCTGCCTAAAACACCGCAGCTGAGCCCCATGGCCGTCCCGCCCATCGGCGGCGTGGCGGCGGCCGTGCCCGCCGTGAGCGTCGCGGCGGCCGTCGACGCCGCCGACGCCGACGGCGCCGTCGTCGCGCCCGTCGCCGATGCCGGCGACGTCGCGGTCGGGCTGGCGGATCGCGTCGAGAAGATGCGCGCGGAGCTCGACATGCCCCCGGAGTACGTGGAGGACCTGCTGCGCCTCGTGGGCACGGACATCGTCGTCGTCGCCGACGACTCCGGGTCCATGAACAGCGTCAGCGACAACCTCGCGGGCGGGCCGAAGACGCGGTGGCAGGAGCTGCAGCAGACGCTGCGACTGTTGGCGACGATGCTCCTCGTCATCGAACACATGGACGGATTCTGGCTCAAGTTCCTCAACGACGCCGAGTGGTACAAGATCACGAGCACGGCGCAGCTCGAGGAGATCTTCGCGGGCAAGCCGCGCGCGCGCGGGAAGACGCCGCTGCTCGGGAACCTGGCGCCCGTCATCGAGGGCTTCGGCCGCGACGACCGCGACACGCTGCTCCTCATCCTCACGGACGGCGAGCCGAGCGACTGCGAGTTCGACGAGCTGAGCCACCTCATCAAGTCGAAGCCCGACGACGTCTTCTGCAGCTTCGCCATGTGCACGGACGAGGCCGACGTCGTCGAGCTCTACAACAAGGTCGTGGACCCCATCTTCGGCTGCGACATCACGGACGACTACGCCGCCGAGTGCCGCGAGGCGAAGCGCGTCGGCAACGCGCTCTCGCCCTTCCAGTGGCTCGCGAAGATGCTCCTCGTCAAGTACGACAAGTACGACGCGCTCGACGAGCGCAAGTTGGATGGTCGCCGACGCGCCTGCTGCGCCCTGTCTTAAGGGCGGTGTGCGGGCGTGGGAGAGTCATATGGGCCGGTGAAAGGCTTTTCGCCGCAAACGTCTCAAACCCGACATCCGCGATCTCGAGTCGTGCGGCGCCTCGGGTCCTACGCGGGCGCGTAGACGCGATCAAGTGGTGACACACTCGCCCGTCGCTATGGTGCCGGGGCCCGGCAACCAACGCTCGACACTGGACATTCTAGAGCGCACCCGCCCTGGATTCCGCGGAGAGCAGGTGTTGCCAGACGAGGTGCTTTTCGATGTGTTAGCTTTTGTCTCGAGCGGAACTGACTTCCTACAGCTCGAGAGCACGTGTCGTCAGTTTTGGCATGCGCTACGCGATGACGAGCGCAGCCAGTCGCTATGGAGGGCGCGTCCAATATACTACGGGCCCCGCGAGTTCTCTCGTACCGCGGGCGTCGTGTGTAGTTATTATGGCACCAAGGCCCAAGTCATTCGCGAGGGCGGGCGGACGGTCGTGCTCGAATACGCATGTATTGCCGCCATCCAGCGGCAGCAGTTCGCCGACGATAACCTGTTCCTTAAGTGGCTCGGCGGCGCGGACGGCTTTCGGAAGATCCTGACGTATGTGCACAAGGAGACCGGTTCTCACACTTATTCCAATTTCCCGGGCGACAACCAGTCACGGCGTTACATCTTCACCTCCAGATTCGCCAAGACGGCATCCGATGTCGTCATGGCGGAAACTTTAGATCTCCTTGCTAGCGCGGTCCATTGCGCCGCACACCGCGCCACCATGCTCGGCGCTTCGTACCGCGATGAGCGCGAGAATTCGGATCTTGCTGAGATGTTCCCGTGCGCCGCCATGCTATTTCCCGAGGATTTCCAGTTGGCAATGCATCTCTCTCGAGACTGTACGTTGGAGACGGGGCCCCCGTTCGTTCACATCATGAATCGCATCTCCTATCGTTTTTTTGGTCCCAACCACAGCTTCACAACATCTCGCTACGAGGGCTATTCGAAACTTGACCTCCCCGGCATCAGCCAGGCAGCGAAAGATGGCCTCGTGCGCGATCTCGTGCGGCGCGCGGGTGGTATGGCATACAGCCCTCAGGCGGTGGATTTTCTTTGGTGTGTCATCCTTACGCGGTTGTCACACACGCTGGAACGCGTCGTCATCGTCGCGATGCACCGCCACCTGCGAATGGAGGACGATTCGGACGATGATGTGTATTCGATGTCAGAGACTGAGGACGAGGGCGACCGAGAACCTGTAGTATCTACCAGCGCTGTTACATCTGCGATGTGCAATTCTCCCAAAGACGTCGAAGTTCCCGTGCTGACGGCGAAGCTCGCAGATCTCAAGTACGTCACCGAGAGTTTCCCTGCTTCGCGCGGCCAGGCGTGCTACACGGGCTGCTTCGACGACTCCAGCGAATCTGACGACTCTTGCGACGAAGATCGACCCCCCATCATTCACCGCATGGAGACAGTCGCAGCCGCCGCGGAGGAAGGGCAACAGCAGCCGCTCGGTAGCGTGCTCGGTGCCAACCTGTCCGATGGCATGACCGCCAATGAGATGATTGCCTTCTTCTCCCACTAAGAAGCCCAGCCTCGGCCTTGTGAAGTCCGGCTTCCCGCACGCCGCCAGCCTCCGAAAACGACTCGGAGGAAGTGGTCGACGCCATGGACGATGATTATTAGGCTCCGAGTCCTAGGAGCGGGTGCGCTTCTTACGCAGGGGCGGTGGGGAGGGCCGCGGCTCGCGGGGCCGGTCTCGGTGCCGCCCCGGAACGAGGTCCGGGGCGGCGCGTCATGTGTCGGCGCGCGCGGCGCGCGGCGGGGGAGGGGGGGGCCTCGCGCGGACG